CATATGGATGAGGTGGAATTAAAAATGGACTTTGGCAGAGTTTGAGTATGTACAAAGCACAACTCAAATGTTTTATGATAGTTGTACACATTAAGTGAACGCAAAGGCATTTGTGTTGTGACATATTGGAAATCCAACAGATGGTTGTAAATCATAAAGTTGCAAATTTGGGAGGAATTTACGAATTGTTTAACTCAAATGTAACAATGCCTTTCCAAACTAAGAATTTTTACAAGAGCACGTCTCTGTGACAGAGAGATACATTAGATAATTTTTGCCTGAATTGTGTAACCCAATGTCAAGTTTAAGACATTTGAGAAGGAACAATCACAGAGAATATTCGATTGTCCAAAGTATGCATTAAAATACTTCATAAATAAATATTTTAGAACTATATTAATACATTAGTTTTATGATCCCACTAGGTAATAACATAGCTCTGTGTAGCCGTAAGTTGGTGTGAATGAAGAGTTTGAAGGGAGCAGACACTGCAAGGGGTGAATATGGCAGGAGGAGTGGAGGGAGGGATGGATAAAATTAAAATACACTGTATAAAAATTTAAAATTGAAAGAAAGCCTTAGGGAGATTTAAAAAATATTTGTCTTAGTGTTCTGTTGGTGTGGAGAGAAGCTTTAACAAGGCAACTCTTTTTTTTTTTTTTTTTTTTTTTTTTTTTTTCAGACGTGGTTTCTCTTTGATGCCCTGGAGACTTTTTTTTTTTTTTTTTTGTTTTTTAAAGATTTTTTTTTTTTTTTTTTAAAACCGTAACGTGTGCCACCAACGCCCAGAAACAAGGCAACTCTTAAAAAGTGTTAAATTGGCGTTTGCTTATAACTTACTAGAGGGTTAGTCAGTCCATGGTCATTATGGTGAGATGCTGAGAGAGATGGATCTGGAGCAGTAGCTGAGAGTTTACATCCTGATCCACAACAGGCAGAGGGAGAGACTGGCCTGGTGTGTGCTTTTGAAACCACAACACTCACTCCAGGTGGCACACCTGGTCCAAAGACCACATCTCCTAATCCTTCTCAAACAGTTCTACTAGGTGGGAACCAAACATTCAAATGTATGAGCCTATGGGGCAATTCTCATCCAACCACCACAGTTTGCTTACTAGGAAATGTGTCCCTTTCGGCATTTTGATTTTGAGTTAACAACATGGAGAGAGAGAAGCTTTGCATGAAGATAGGTACAAAGCCATAGTACTGACAGCATATCTACAGTGGAAGCTGGAATATTGCACTTTTTTGGAGTATTATCACTGAGCAGGTTCATGAGTTAGGTCCTCTTCACCCAGAATCCTGATGCAAGCTCAATCTGGCAGTGTAAAAGACACGTCAAAGTTAGCATAAGATTGAAAGACTCCCAGATCCTTCCGTTTACGAAACTGAACAGCTGAGCTCCAAACTGTGTTATTTATTTATTTATTTATTTATTTATTTATTTATATTATTATTATTGGTTTTTCGAGACAGTGTTTCTCTGTGGCTTTGGAGGCTGTCCTGGAGCTAGCTCTTGTAGACCAGGCTGGTCTCGAACTCACAGAGATCCTCCTGCCTCTGCCTCGGGAGTGCTGGGATTAAAGGCATGCACCACCAACACGCAGCGAAACAGCACTATATTTATCTTCCCATGAATTATTCTTTGGATCCATTCCTGTACATTTATTTGACTGACAAAATCACAGCTGCAAGGTGAACCTAAGTCCCTCTGATAGCACAGTATTTGCTGTTGGGTTGCAAGACACTCACAGAAATGCTGCCTCTTTGTTAAGTGGAGGGCCACAGCGAAACCATTTACTTATATAATGTTTCTGGTTGAAAAACAAATTAAAGTGGCCTTAAATTCGGTTCCTACCAATTTCCACCCATTGCCTTCCAAACACTAGGAGGAAAAGGAAGAAATAATAAAGTTGCTTTCAATGTCTAATATCTATGCACAAATACTTACTGAAAAACTTAATGTGATAGTTGGAAAAGATGAACATGAAGCCAATAATTGGAGAGACCAATAAACAATATGGTTTCATCCATTCCACAGAATACTTTCATTGTACCATATTGAATTAATAGGAATGGCTGTGGTACAAATGCAAAATTATTTATGAAACAACAGAAAATCTGCTCTTAAGCAGAAAAAAAGCATTGCACATGAGTTCAGTGAAAAAAAGAACCAGATGTTAGGCATACTTAAAAAAACACACACGCGTACACACAAAAGCCCGTATGCTATTATCCATGAAATATTCAATTCCCACAAAATCTTAGAGCTTACTGGCCAGAGCCTTTCTTCCCTATCCCTTCATGCTAATCTTCCATATGTCAGTGTTTCTTTAGAATTGGTGTATTTTACGAAAGTCAAGTGCAGAGAGCCAACTGAAGATTGGGTCCAGTTGGGATTTGCACAGTGTGTTCAGAAATGCCCTCAGACATAAACGACTGAGTGTGCCATCGCCGCATATCAGAAGTGCAGAGAGTGCAAAGCAATCTATCACTCGCTATCTGTTGAGCCAGAAGCAGTCTGGCCACATCAAACAGAATTAATGATTGAGTATGAAAGAAAAGTTAAACTGGCCAGATTTCACCACTGAAAATGATAAAATGATAGACTTGAGACAGTCCAATGTAATTACCACTGCTAAAAATGATGTGTCTTCATTGTTTTTGTTATAAACTTGAACTCTTTATTTTGACTATGATACTCTATCCAGAATTATTTTTATATGTTAAACTTAAAAGGAAAGAATACTGACCACATCTAGGCAATTCTAGCAATCATTTATTCACTTCCTTTTCATCTTTGCAATTGTTACAAGAGATCCCAGGTAGCAAACATATTTAACTTATTTTCCATAAACCCTTGACACTGATTCTTTTTTCAAAATATTAGATCTGGAATATGCTGAGTTTCACTAAGAAGTACACAGACATTCTGTTATCCATTCAAAAGCACTAACATTTTGTTTCTGTATATTATTTCTTTATAAATATTACATTCTTATAAACGCTACCATGTGAGAGAGACCTTAATTATTTTTACTCAAAATAAAACAGAAATAGTTTCTGTACTTCAACAGAAAGTTCAGTCATGAGATTTGTGTCCCTTTACTTTTTATTGAACTGGATGTCAAGTATACCCCATATCACTTCTAGTCTTCCTGGCAATAAGAGTCAACCCAGAAGCTCTCAGTTCCTTAGGTCATTTAGTTTTGAAACACTCTTCAGGCTTATTGGCAGTGGCTTCTGCCCCGAACCTATGAAGAAAACCCTGTGGAAACTGGGGATGGACAGGGAGAAAAAGAAATACTGACACCACTATTAATCAAGGGCATGAATATGTAGGTCAAATCTCCTTGCTTATATTAGAATATGATATGTTAGTCGGGCGTTGGTGGCACACGCCTTTAATCCCAGCACTTGGGAGGCAGAGGCAGGCGGATCTCTGTGAGTTCGAGACCAGCCTGGTCTCCAGAGAGAGTGCCAGGATAGGCTCCAAAGCTACACAAAGAAACCCTGTCTTAAAAAAACAAAATCAAGAATATTATATGTTTCATATATTATATAATATTAATATAATATATTAATATATAATGTAATATAACTGATAGATAAGCTTTCCAAAAACATTTTCTAATAAATAACATTGTTTCATTATTCACAGCACATGTGTCTGCCATTTTTATAACTGTGATCCAATAATTAACAATAGAAAGACTCCTTGGCCTCCATAAAGATTTTAAATTAAAGATGAATTAGAATTGTACATGGAAAAATAAACATAGATAGGGCTAACTGTATAAATTGTATGTCCATATGTATATATGCAAACTTAAAATTAATTTACATATAAGGATATGCACAGCTGTAATAGTGGAATTCATGCAGTTTCTATACAGATTTTCATGTGAAAACGGCATTCACAATTCACTTTTTCATAATAAGGAAAGCACACGTGTCCAAAAAGAGAATTCTTATGACGCATGTAGGAGTTATACCTAACAGCCCATTGTAGGTCTTATACCATCCAAAAACTAATTTTAGATGGTCTGAAGAAACATATTTCTTATAAGATGATTCAAAAGTGTAGTGGGCAAAGTGTGCAGAGAACATACATCAATGCAACAGATGCTATAACTGGTGGTGATACATAGAGCGCTCCATGATCAGGACCCAGCAAAAAGTCTCCTGTAGATAGCACTATAGCAGGGGATGTGCCAAGTCGTCAATGATCCACCAATGGGCATATCCCAAAGGTGCTTTCCCTAATCAGTATAAAACTGTCACACAGAAACTTTTTCTTTAAAAAGTTATGTTTCCTTCAAAACTCTATACAGAATGTTTTTCTGTGTTTTGTTTTTGTTTATGTTGGGAGGGGGAGTTGGAGACAAGATTTCTCTATGTACCCTTGCTGTCCTGGAACTCACTCTGTAGATCAGGCTGGCCTTGAACTCACAGAGATCTGCCTACCTCTGCCTTCCAAGTGCTGTGATCAAAGGCATGTGCCACTGCCACCTGGCAAGAATGATTTTAATAAGAAACATAAGTAAAGATTGTCTAAAATGGAATTTATATGTATATATACTAAAAGTTTTAGATGAAGACTTCTCCCCTTTCCCCTTCTCTCTTTCATATCCCTTTAAACATGTCTTTCTTCCATTCTTAGCCATATATTTCATTTTAAAAAAACAATACACAAGAAGGAATTTCTAAAACTCTTTAAATCTTCACACATTTTAAAGGACACTGGATAGTTCCAAGCATGCACTGTTAGGGATAAAAAAAAAGTGACTATCTGTAAAACAGAGACAGAATTGGCATTTGAAATAACACAGAGAGAAGACTGCACGCTATGAGTGACTTTGGATGACTGCGACAATTGTGTGAATGCAACGGTTTATGGAAATTTTTAGTAATTAAATTGGAGGGTGAAAACTTTAAAAATGAGATATCAGCAGGGTAGGCATATGAAAGGATTGGAAATCTCGGAAGATACAACTTACATGTCCATTAGGCATGAAGACACACTGGCTTTCCTGAAGTTGGTTGCTAGATACAGGAGCCTAATTGACTAACTTCATTTTGAGAGAGAAAGGTGCTCTGCCTGAGAAAGAAGAGAGGGGCAGAACAATGTTGTTGTTCCAGGAAAAGCAACAAAGTTATTGGAAGATGAGAGTGTGAATGAGAATATAAACCAGATCTGAATCTGGAACCCATCCCAAGTACATCTACAACTTTGGCTGTAGACATCTGAAGAGTCAGAAACATCTCCAGTACAAGGAAACTGCCGAATACAGGGTCTCAGATCATATTTTCCATGAGTATGACTAGTGGTCCAGGCTTGAATTTGAGAAGATATTATTGTCATGATTAATTCAGTATAGAAAGGAAATTTATCACTTAATGAGATCTTTCTAAATACCCGTATGGTACCAAGTATTTCCAAGTGATATTTCTCAGGATCAAAATGTGCTCATCTAGAATTGTGGAAGCAGACACAGTACTCAATATTTAATGTGTCACTGTTAATGTTAAATATCAGGTTATTGAGCATTCTACCACAGTTAAGTCACTGCCTTCCATGATTTTATTACAATGGTTTCACCTTTCAGTTATTATGGTATTTCTCTCCTTTGGTCCAGTTTTAGACTCCAGAGAAATAAACACTAAGGAACAGTGTATGATGGGATAAAATTGATCTGGTATGGGATATGGGATAGTGAACAGTTTAAAGACCAATTGCAAAAGTGAATATTTTAGGAGCATCACCTGTTGTTATTATTAACTATTAATCAAAATAGCACTATATTTTCTCCTCATTATTAATTTTTTAAAATATCAAATTTAATCTCTGAATAGGAAAACAATTGTCTTTCTTTAAATAATTAAAAGAAAATCAGGCAGTGGTGGCTTACACCATTAATCCCAGCCCCTGTGAGGCAGAGGCAGGTGGATCTCTGTGAGTTGGAAGCCAGACTGGTCTACAGAGCTAATGCCAGGACAAGCTAGGGCTATGGGAAAGAAATTCTATCTCAAAAAGAAAAAAAATAATGAAGACAGAAAGAAAGATATATAGAAAGGAAGGAAGGATGGAAGGAAGGAAAAAGAAAGGAAAATAAAATATTAGTACTATAATTAGTGTGCATTTTCAAAAATTAAAATACATTGTTAAATGAGTAGACTTAAAAACAAAGACCATGAAAATGCTGGTAAACATCAATTGTCATTACAACTAAATGTATTTTATATTTTTAAAACATTAAATACTTCTATTTAACAAGCATCACAGTTTTATGTAGAAATAGTATAAAATTAAAATTATAGCTCATTGTTAAGTTCCCCGTCTAAGGATGCCAGACGTAATTGAGTGACATTAACTCAGACGAAATAGGACCCAGCGGTGACATCCTGATTACCATTCTCAATTAACACAGCTACGTTTTTTAATGTCTATGTTTAATGTCAAAGCATTACAAGGCTTTGAAGATAAGAAATCTATTAGTGTTTCAAAAAATATGTCCCAAAGCAGAGAGACTAGAAACAGAATGAAACCATATGTCATTTGCACTCAGGTGATAATTCCAACAGTATGAATTAATCAGGTTTCTCAAGGGACGGATATAATTTTAAAACTAGTGTAGGAGCTCAGGGTTGAAGAGGAGGCTGAATCAGCTCAAGACGAAACAACAAATCTGAAAGGAGTTGAAAAGAATTACACACAAGGGACAGAACATTCCTCTAGTCCTCACTGCCAAGTGGTTCATTCATGTCAGAGGTTTGACCTACGTGCATTTCTTGCCCAGCACTGGCAACCTTCACGAAGCCTGGAAGACATAGATTCTTAACACACCATGAATGAACAAGCAAGAGTATTCCGTGTAAAGCAAAACTCAAAATTCATCATGACAGTGGGAAAAGGGCTCAAGCAACACAGTTTGAATCTGGGTTCTAGTCCTGTCTTTCCTGCAAGCTGTTTGTGTGACTGTGAGTAAATTATTTGATACTCAATGATTACTTCTATAACTTCCTATTGTTGAATTTAAAAATCCCTCCAAACACTTTGTTCTGTCACTAAAACTCTGGGTTAGCTCAAAAATAAAAATGAGTTCATAGAATATCCCACAAGTTAAGACAAAGAAAAAGAAATATGGAAATTGGCCAAAAATTAGTAACGGTAGATGACTTGAAAGATTGTGTTTGTTTTTAAGATTGGAACCATCTGAATAAAATTAGGTGGAAATAATCCCTTAGGGTCTGAATGTATTTAAATAGAAACAACCCATCTAAAATCCAAAGAAGACATCCTTGAAGAAAATAAAAGCAAAATGTTCAAATGGAAGAGATTAATATTTTGAAGTAGTTTCTTCGTGCACAAGTCAAGAAATATGTACTGCACATTTTCTCCAGGCCAGCCACCTGGCTAAGCAGGTTTCATGATAAATAAACAAAATTGTTCCTTGTGACAGGGAAACAGGTTCATAATTTAGTCTAGAAATGTGATTCTGAATATTTAATAAAAGTGCAAAAAATATTCAAGTAGTAAGTGAATAATAGCTTGAATCTTTTTCATGAATTTAACCCCTATAAAATAAAAATATAATTGAATTTTATTCCAGATTTATTAGGAAATTAACTACAGCAGTTAAATATTGGTTTGAAATAATGATAAATTAAAGCCATAAAAGAAGCATAGCAGACTTCCTCATGTCATTTAACAAATGTGATATCCACACACTGTCTAAAATAAATGTCTGAACACCTTTAGTTCAGATGTTCAATAAACATCTGAAGAAAATTTTTGTCATTTCACGAAGGGGATTTGTGAAAGCAGAATATTGAGTGAAGTGATTAAATGGTTATTTTTGTGCTAATTTTAAGCACAAAATTAAGTTACTTTCCAAAGGAATCTAAAAATTTTAAAACCTACTGATAAAAGTTACTACATATTCGTATCAGTCATTAGCATATTGATGACTGTGGGCCTTGTCATCTTACTAAAAGGTCACCTTAAAATTTGGTTTACTTATCACTAGCAAGAGTCAAATTGTTTCCATATGTTTACCAATTCATTTTCTCTATGTGAAGCATTTATGATGGCATTTTTCCATATTTTAGGGGGTTAATGGCTTATATATTTTGAAATATTACCCTACTTAGAATTGTGTAGACTTGCCTCTAGTTTGACTTTTTATAGCTAAATCTTAATATATAAGCAATAGTATTTTTTTACTTTGGGTCAGTTATAAGATACAATATTTAATTATAAGATACATTTACCATTCATTTTACTTATACTAGTTTGAGGGGTACAGTACTGATGTGCCAGTACAGTTCTATGTTGGTCCATAATCAAGTTGGGGTACTTACCACTTTTATCTCCAACATTTTATAATGTTTAAAATATTATTACTATGTTATAACTTACATACTTATGGAGTACAGTGTAATATTTCAATACATGTATGCATTACATACTGATTAAATCAAGGAAATTAGATGTTTGACCTTATTTTTTATTTTTTGGAGGTTTTGAGCTTCTATTTTCTATTCATAATTATATGAAAACTGTTGTAAACTATGAATGTTATACCTGTGATGTATTATCCTAGATTTCTCTGAATGATCTCTGTCACACACTCTACTTCTCCTGTTAATTTATTTGAATATGGGAGCTAAAAAGTAATATTTTTCTTTCTTTGTCCCACTTCACATTTAATAATGTCTTCCAATTCCATTCATTTTGTTGCAAGTGACAAGATATCTATCATTCTTTTGTGGCTGAATATTCATTGTTGATTCTTTGAGGGACGTCTATTCTGATTCTGTGTCTTAGGTGCTCTAAATGATAGTGCAATAAACAGGGGCATGCAGAGATTCATTTAATATGCTTTTATCATATCATACACTTTGGATATAGACCAGAAAAATGATAACTGAACAATATTGCATAGCTTTGAGGAGACCCTATACAATTCTCCATCATTTCTGTACTAATCTACATTCCCACCTACTGTGAGTAATAATTCCCTTTTCTCCCAAAAAGGGGATGATAAGAGTGGAATAAGTTACAGGAATCAAGCGAGAAATAGAGCAGGTAATAAAACACAAGGATTTTTTTTTAAGTCAGAGAGGACTGTCTGGAGGAAGAAGGGAAGCCAGATTGGAGTTGAGGGCAGAAGGCAAAAGAAAAAGACAGTGTGGGTGGGGACCAGAATGGAACCATGAATACATGTATTTGAAAACGCAATCATGAAACCCACTGCTTTGTATACTAGCAATTTCAATAAAATTTCAATAAAAATGAAAAAAGTTTCTTTTTCTGAATATGTATTAACAGTGCCTGCTGCCTTCCCGTTCTATTGATACTAGCCACTCTAACAAATGGGATGGTAATTTCTAAAGATCATAAGTAGTATTCCTAAGGGCCTACCAACATTTCTTCATAAATGACTTACTTGCTCATCTAAATTTCTTCTTTGGAGAAGTCCATCTGTATGCTTTGCTTCTGTTTACATGGTAGATATAAATCCTTTTGACAATGTGTGTTTCTATTTGTTCTGTCTTTGGTTTGCATTGGTGGTTGGCCTCTCTGGTAGAAGCTTCTCACTTTGATGGACTCACATTTGACTGTCCACTGTTGTTTCCTGCACCTAGAGGGACTTGTAGCCTACACCAGTGCTCTGAAGTATTTCCCTTAAGCATTCCTCTAGTAGTTTCACAGTTTCAACTTATAACTTAAGTCTACGACCCACTTTGAGATTATTTTTATAGCCCAAAAGAAAAAAGGTCAAATTTCCATCTTCTATACACGAATACCCAATTTTCCAGAACCATTTACTTGAAGAGTCTATCCCTTTTCCATTGTATGTTTTGGGTGCCTTTGTAAGAAGTTATTTGCCTTTTGGTATAGTGGGAAATTACCAATACGGAGTCAGGTAGAAATAAAAGGGTATTTAATAGGGAAAAGCCTTACTTACAGAGCGACCTAGCCAGCCGGCACAGCAGCAGTCTGTACAGCAAGAAGCAAAGTGAAAGCGAAAGAGCAAATGCAGTCACACTACGTCACTCTGACCACGCCCTCACAAGCGTGGTCAGACACACCTGTAGCCAGCCCCTAAGTAGGCGTGGCTACAGCTTCCCCTACATTATAGTTTTAATATTTTATTTTTTATTCATTTTACATACCAATCACAGTTACCCTTCCCTCCCCTCCTCTTCCTTCTCCCACTTTCTCCAACCCACCTCCCATCCACTTCTCAGAAAGAGTAAGGCCTCCATAAGGAATCAACAAAGACTTGCACACTCAGGTGAGGCAGGACCAAGCCCCCCTCAGGGAATCCTACTGGAGAGATGGAGGAAAGATTATATGATCCAGAGGAGTCAAGGACATCATTAAAAGAAACCCATATAATCAACAAATCTAGGCTCATAGGAATTCACAGCAACTGATCCAGCAACCAGGGAGCCTGCAAGGGACTGATTTTGGCCTCTGTATTTTTGTGACAGTTGTGTAGCTTGGTTTTCTTGTGGGACTCCTAACAGTGGGAACAGGGGCTGTCTCTGCCTCTCCTTTTGCTGGCTTTTAGGACCCTATTCCTCATACTAGGTGGCCTTGCCCCACCTTAATACAAGGTGCTTAGTCTTACTGCAACTTGATATGCCAGGTTTTGTTGATATCCGTGGCAGGCCTGCCCTTTTCTGAATAGAAGCACAGGAGAAGTAGATTAGAGAGGGGTGGAGTGGGGAGATAGACTTGGAGGAGGGGGGGAAATGGAAACTGCTGTTGAGATTTAAAATAAATATTATTATTAATAAAAAGATGCCTTCTCCTAGAAGGAAAATCCCAGAAGGGAAATCAAGTTCAGGAAAGAGAAATGGGAAAATGTTTATGAAGACGAGACCAATCCCCTTGTTTTTGTTGATTTGGTTGGTTGGTATTTGTTTATTTATTTGCTTGTTTGTTTCAGCAAGGTCTCCCTTTTTATTAGCCCTGGTCTGGACCTTCCCAAGTAACCTAGGGCACTTTCCAATTTATAACAGTGCTCCTGCCCC